CGTGTGGTTAAATATACATTTCGACTTTGAAGGAAGCCCCCTACTCCCCGTCTTTTTCAATTGTTAAAAGTCTACGACATGCTTGTTTTCCCAACAATAAGGCCCCAAAAACCATATCACACGAGGAGATGGTGATGCATCCAGTACCATTCCTCTTACTCTCTGTCACGTCAGTGTCAAATCTATGTATTGTACGCTACAGTGTCTATGTCTTGTCTATGAACCAGGTAGAAGACATGTTCGTTGATCTGAAACATGTCTTCGAGCGTATGCTAGTGGAGAGCCCCTGGATGAGCAACACCACCAAGGAAAAAGCGCTTAGAAAGGTGAGTGTACCCTAGGTTCGAATCCTCGGTAAGGTTGTGACGAGTGTTTTTTTTTTTTCTCTAAAAGCAAAAATGGAATCCTTACCTACACAGTCCTTGTAGACAGCAATAACCACATGGACCTAAATCATGCAAAAATAGAATCCTTACCTACACAGTCCTTGTAGACAGCAATAACCACATGGACCTAAATCGTTGGGCTCAAAGACAGTACCTCCCTCCAACGCCTACACAAAAAGTAGTAAACAAAAATGGGAAGTGACTGCAATCAAGCTGATACCAATGAATTAATTTAATGAACACTGACTGAAAAGCTTAATGGAATGAGGAATGACAGAATAGCTTGCACAAAACAACACAGACGGACTTTTCGGCGCTAGGCCTTTCTCGAAAGAAACTGATCTAAACAGCCATAACGAGAGGGAGAGTACTCCAACCACAAAGGAGTCAAGTGAGAAACTCTACAAAAAAAAAAAAAAGGTGATGTGAAGTAAAAAAAAAGGTGATGAGAAATAAATGAAGTAAAAAAAAAGGAAACCTCAAAAAATAGTCGTAAACAAGAGTAAAGTTGAAAATATATAATATAAAAGTAGAAATAAAAGAGTTCTAGAAATACATATGCTAATGATCCATAAATGGTTTTGATAAGAAATAGAATACAGTGATAATATGAAATACAATAAAATAAGATGAGCATAAAAATAATACAATTACCTGAGACAAACAGCAAAACGGTTTAAATGAAGGTATACTGGGCATTGATACCTCCTGGACTAAGAGCACCTAGACTGTGGATGAAGCGATTTTCCAAAGAGAGGCGCGTATTATGATTGTCAAAGGTGATGTGATTTTCCAAAGATAGGCGCGTATTATGATTGTCAAAGCAAGATTTTAACGCTGTGACAGATGCATCATATTTGCCCCTGTGGTCAGAGCTGTTGAAATGGAGAAGGATCGGTTTATTTGTTTTCTGGTCAATATCGAAGAGATGTTTCCGGAACCGATCAGCTAGCTTTCTGCCGGTTCCCCAATATATTGCCTTGTTGCATCTTTTGCAGATTATGGCACAAATTACGCTGCGGGATTCACAAGTAAAAGGTTCTCTTATTTGGAAAGAACCATTGAGGAAACTGACTGATGAGGTCTGGACAACGAAATAACATGTCTTGCACTGTCAGTATAGCCGCAGATGCTATCTATTTAAAGTCTGCAAAATTGTTCGTACAGGAAGTCTCTTATTACAAATTAGATGTAACACTGCTTATAGACGTTTCAGCTTAGGTCGTTGTGGCGTTCAGACGATTTTAAGATACGTGTGTCGAGGAATGCGTAGGGCTCCAGTGTAGCGTGCAACCTGTTGTGGCAAATGAATGATAATCGAATGAAGCTTGTGCCTTCACTGAAGTGGGCGAGAATTGAGGAATCCGATTCGATGACTATATGTTGACTACAACTAGATGGTCGGCACTCATTGTGACGAAGGTCAAGTGCATGAGTGCAACCAAACGACGAGGTGCACATCTTTATAATCAAATGCAACCACGTTTTATAGACTTGAACATCAACATAACGATGCAACAATCAAGTCTAGTGATTAATTATGCAGATATGATTTCCTCAGTGAACGGTGTGGAGGGCCTTGAGCCCAACCTGATGCCACTGGGTAACTGGGCAAACCAACAACAATGTAAATAGCAGTTACAAGGGAACTTCATCGTTGATATACTCAAACAAGCCTAGTACGACACTTTTGTATTGAAAAATTAACTGAGTTGAATAAAAATATGCGAAACGCATGATAGGTGGCAAAACGACTCACCCTATGAATACATGTAGCGTACAAACGTTTTTTTAATTCCATGCTGCCTATCTGAAACAATTTTGCCACTTTAGATGTTTTACATCCAAATTTAGATGTTTTTTCCTGCATTTAGATGGCGTTTTTTACGTTTAGAAGTTAGATGTCTTTCTAGAAGTTTTTCATTTGGAGTGAATTTATTAAATCTAAGCTAAGAAACAGGAGGAAATGCTATCTTGACCATAAAATTCTGCCTGATAAGAGTAGAAAAAGGCTGTTCCACTTATCAGCTCCTTGATTTGGTATTAAAAGAAATTGTAATAGCTAAAGAATACCATGTCATTTTGGATCTGAAGCTTTAACTTCATCATCCAGGTTAAGTTTATCCTGTGGATCTTTAAGGAAGACTTCAGTAAAGATGAGGACATGATTCTATAGAGTAAGTCATGTCAATTGCTATGTAATTTGTGACTCTTTCCATTTGGATGTTTTTCAAGATGTTTTCCACGCAAATTTATATGTTTTTAGATATTTTTTAAATTCCGTTTTGGATGTTTTTTGTCAAGAAAAGTGGCAACACTGATCTGTACATGCGGGTGCTACCGTCCCTTAGAGTGTCCAGACGCCCCCCCCCCCCTCACCCCCAACCCCAGTTTGATCAAGGCCTCTACCGTCGCCTGAACCGTCCCAGTGCTCCTGTTAAGATAGCGTAGATTGTCGACAAGATCCCCCTAGTCACTCCCAGAGAATGCACCATCCTCTCCATACCGTAACGATCTCTTCGTGCCTCCAAATTGTTTATTTGCTTCCAAAGGACCTTGGTCGATTTTTGTATTTCCATAATTAAACTTACATTTTTTAAATACTTCTTTTCCTTTTTTAAATTGACTTCCTTTCTTTTATTCACACAGCTGAAAAATATAGATGCTGAAATCGGTTATCCTGATGCATTTGAATACGATAATTATGCTGATGTATTCTACGAAAACGTGAGTATTCTGCTTTTATTATGTCGTGTCTCTCCCAGTTCTAGATGAAATGGTACTCACCAAAAAGTGTCTTAAAAAGTGCCGACACTCACTACAAAGTTTCTGTTACAGTATCGCTTTGAACAAAATACCGGAACAACTCATAAACTCCGCCCACTTACATACTAGGTCACTTTTGATTGGTGCTTGGTCAGGCTCGTGAACTTTGCTGAAGGTTACAGGGGTGTCCCGGCTTACTGTTTGCTTAAAAAGCTTTCTGTGTTGTCTTCTATTTACTATTTAATTAAAAAAAAGTGAATGCATGGTACATATGCTTCAGCACTATCGTGGGGTAGGGGGGGTGGGGGGGGGTGTAAGGGCCAGTACTGCATGTTTTTGGACCAATAATACAGCGCTGACATCCTGGAATATACATTACGCTATATCACTGTCTGGTAAAGAGACAGAGAAAGTTTTAAGAACAGAACAGTACCCAGAGACACTGTAACTTTTAGCAGAGTTGACGAGCCTAATGAAGTATGAATAAAAAGTGACATAGTATGTAAGTGGGCAAAGACTGGGATCTGTAAACGTGAGTTGTACCAAAATACCTACAGTAGATTACTGAAACTGCTGTGTATGGCCGAACTAAAACGAGACCCGGTTTTTATCTTGTTTTAACGGCACAAGAGAAGCAACATCTGTCCAGTGTTGACAGTTATCAAATCCATGCATTGTATGTCAGGAATATCTGTTCATGGGCACATTGGGAACAACCGGATATTTGCTACCGATATAGTTTTGATTTCATTTTCACGTTCCCAGTGAAATACGATACTATCAGACAAATTGTGAGAACGACACTTTGTACTAGATCGATCGAGAAACAGTAGATCAAGCGCTTTGGCCATCTCGTTAGAATGCAGCAAGATCAAATACCATCACAAGCTCTACATCTCAGAAGATCAGCTACAAGAAAAAGAGGACAGCTGCGGAAAACAAGGATCGACAACATTAAAGACACTCTACGCCTTCACGGCTTGACAATAGCTAGTTTCGGTCAGAGTGCAAATTATTTTGCCTACGGTGATTAACAGAAGTGGTATATGATGCTGATGATGATGATGATGATTATAGCTTTGACATCTGAAAATTCTTCTTTCGTTAGCTTGAAATAAATTATCTATGCATGCAATAGTGTCCGTAGTAGGAACTTCACACAAAAACCCGTAGAGTTTGATTTGCACCTGTGTTTTTCTTAGCCAGGTGTTTTGCACAGCTGAGAATGAACCTGAAACCTAATTGTAAAAAATAGTGGGACATAAGTGAAACAGAAAGTCAAAAGACGCATCTAAGTTTAAGCAGAATAAGAAAAAAAAAAAAAAAAAAAAAAAAAGAAATCATAGTAAAAAAATCAAAATAAAGTGGGCCCTCTGAAATGCAATCTCAAAGAAAATGGGACAACCCTCAAGCAAATTTGTGAGTTCCAGTACTTGGATGCCCTAATGTCAGCAGATCAAAGATGCATTAAAATAGTTAAAAGTAGAACATTTCAAGCAAAGACAGCAAAAAAAAAAAAAAAAAAAAAACAGAATATTCTGTGCCATCTTCTGTTTGTTTTTTTTTTTTTTTTTAAATTTCTTCTTATGCTCTTATTTTATTCTAGAGTATGAGAAGGGGTGGGAGGGGGGGGGTGGAGAAAGAAGAAGAAGAAGAAGAAGAAGAAGAAGAAGAAGAAGAAGAAGAAGAAGAAGAAGAAGAAGAAGAAGAAGAAGAAGAAGAAGAACAAGAAGAACAAGAACAAGAACAAGAACAAGAACAAGAGGAGGAGGAGAACGTAGACGGGAACGTGGAGGGACATGTTTACAATCTCATTAGGTGTTTATCATTTCACTCTTTCTCTAATAGTATACAGTGACTGAAGACAGGTTTTATGACAATCGTATCCTGGTCACAAAGTTATTTCACATTCAACAAATGAGAATCATGATAACAGGCTCTGAGTAAGTACGATGCTTCTTCATGTTTGTGTTCCAGGCCGTATAGCGTTGATTGTCATGTCTATCAGCAGCCTACTGTCTCGTGTGTTTTCAATAATTTCTGACACAGATGTTATTTAATGTCATGATATTTAAAATATTCCGGCATCTCTCTGTTTCTATCTGTCTCTGTCTGTCTGTCTGTCTCTCTCTGTCTCTCTCAGCCCCCCCCCCCCCTCCTCCTCACCAATATTCCCACCGTCCTGGTTTAGTGCAATTATGATATATCAAGAAAATTAGTTGCGCATCAGAACAGAAAATAACTACGTATGCAGTGCAAAACTCGAATGCTAGGACAAGACAAAGAAGTGGATGAATAACAAGAACATTCCGCCGAAATTTTGAGCCGATGAAAGCAAAGAAGAGTATTGTGAGAAAATATGTTAATAGTATTAGTATAATGTCCATTTGAAGAGAACTACATAACTAAAGGAATACATGGAGCCAAGCAGTGGACAGGATAACTAACGATTAACGCTTTCGTTTCAAAGCAGTTGACTATCATGTATTTCATATCATATTATTTTTATGTTCTACCTATTTCTATTATTTGTCAAGTATGTACACTATCACCTGATTTGCTTTTATTGCGCAATGAATACATAATGAGATCTATCATGGATATGTCAGGAATTGTGGTTGGTGCTCATAAGATAAAAAAAAAAAAAAAACCTGCTTTATGTTAATGACACCATCTTGATAGGGAGAAGTCAAGAAGAACTACAAGGATTGATAGACACTTTGGTGTTAGAAAGGGAAGAGAATATGTCACATTTTGAAAAATGGGAAGACATAAGTAATGGTGATTTCCAATTAAAAAAAAAATAGTACCCAAATCTATAATTAAAGTAAAGACATTATTTTAGGACAAGTACATAAATTTAAGTATCTGGGCACTTGGATAACATGTGACGGAAGATATGTCACATAGATAAAGAGCAAAATATGACAGGCTACAACTGTATTTGATAAAATGAGAAATATTTTGTGCAATAAATTCCTCTCACCGGGGGTTAGGAAAAGAATTTTCGCATAAAATATAGAGCCAGTTTTCACATACGATTGTGAGTCCCGGACAGTTTATTGGTTTGAGCAATGGATAAACATCCTGGCACAAGGCTGGTAACCCATAAGTTCCAACTTAAGTCTGAGTCCGAAGAAGTTCCGCACAGTGCACAGGCTCTGTAGAACCGGTTAGGATTGTGAAATACTTTGGGTAGATTTCATTTTAACTCAAAAATTTTTCCCGGGCAGCTCCGTTAGGCTACTCTTTACGATTTCCAACTGCCAGGGGATTTTTTTACGTTCGCAACAATGCACACGGGCGTCTGATCTCACTACCCCGAGACCAGGGGGAATTGCTAGAAGTCCAAGTTCACGTGAAAAAATCCCAGCCCTTACCGGGGATTGAACCCGCAACCTCCAACACTCGAGGCAGACACCATTCCTCTAGACCACGCAGCCCCCCTGGACAATTAATAAACAAACCGAACAATATCTTGTGGCCTTGGAGATGTGGTTTTACAGAAGAATCCTTAAAATTTCCCAGTCAGCCAAACAGAGGAACCCAGACCTATCGAATGGGGCTAGGGGTCAAAGATAACTTATCACAAACACCAGAAAGAAACATTTATCAAATGTTGGTCATGTTTTTAGACGAAGGAAGCTGGAACATGTTGTGACCACCGAATAGACGTGTAGAAAGAGAGACAAAGAAAGAAGCCCTAGAGATTCTTGACGACCTTTTGTCATGGCATATAGTGGTGTCAACACAGGAACCGATACACACAGATGCAGATCACATATTGTTGAAGAATTATGATCGCCCACGCGAGTCCACAGGCCACTTGATGATGATGATGATGATGATGATGCCAATTTGTTATATTCTTTAGTTAATTCCCTGCGTTTATGTTTTAACATTAAAGTCCTATGGCTGTATTATTTATGTCACAGACAGACACAGATTCGTACTAGAAAGTATAAACACTTTGCGATAATACCAGTCCGAGAATCGACGTTCTGGAAGACTCTTCGCCTCGACTGTAATGTTGTGAATTCCCGGGGGAAATCCCAGAGAGTTCCCGATGGGGAGGACATGGTCAGAGGACCAGTGAAACAAGAGGAAAACGAGATAAGCGAGTCTTGAGTATCCCGTGGTGAGTGAATAAGGGTACGTAGCCAGCAGTGGGTTTCGATCGAGGCACGTTGGAATTACGAGTCGGACTCGCAACGCCTAAGCCTCGGACGCCGCAAAAATATCTATACATTTATTTTGAATGTTAGGTGTATGAGCAAATGCTTAAAAAGAGGACGTCTAACCATTATGACTTACTGTATGCGTCCTCCGCATGTGGGATGCAATTTTTAGTTATTTTGAAGCCTCACTCTGGCCTTTGCCAGGGGCCCTAAACACAGCCGGACCTAAAATGTGGCCTTGCGGCTGAGCAGGGTTTCAGGGACCTCTCCATTGGTGATTCTTATCAGCATTGTGGTACTTTGTATCACCGGGTTTTTATCACTTGTGTGATTCATGGTGGGGTACAACTTATCTACCTACCTACCTACATGGTGACAAGGCGGAAGAGAGAGTCAGCTCACTTTACATTCTTGGGTGCCTGCTGGGGATGCCTCAGTCCACAACAGGCGATGTCTTTGCTGTCTGGCTGATAGAATAAAGAAAGGCCGATGTGATATTAGATGGTGTTAGGAGAGTCCTGGGAAAATGATGGCCAGCCAAGAATGTTGAATGTTGAATTAAGAATCGACATCACAGCACTCTACTCACTCCCATAAGTGCTCAGCAAGCGAGGAGTTTCAATTCTGATGGTACCAGTAACCGTATAATTGTATATCAGTCTCATCCTTCCCCTGAGTGTTAAGCGTTGGCCAGATCCCCTGGTAACTCCTCGCAGCGCCATTATCCTTAGGCCGTAATATCTATCTGCGCTTTCGCACTGTTCACTCGCTTCCAAAGGGCTCTCACAATATCTAACTTGTGGCCAGCCAAGACAAATAAATGAAGAACTGAGGAGGACATCAAAAAAGTCAACACTGGCAAATAATTATCATAGGAATGAGATACAGATGGGCTGCATACATTTGCAGAATGGCTCGTTACAGTTTGAAGCTTCTCTCCGATCGACGGCAAAGGGGAAAAGGACATGTGGAATGCATAAGTAAAAGTGGACAGCAGAAAAGTAAACGAAAGAATGTAAAATGACATGGGATACCATTGGTAGAATGCAGCGGATCGGCAGGTGCGAAGATCATTCGTTGACTGTGTATGCCAACAACGACGTACAGAAAATATAGATCGACAGAATGTAACAGTAACTATTTTAACACATTAATTTTCTCTTTGTTCTTTAGTAATGAACGCGACGTGTCAGAAGTCAATGCATTTTACACTGATTTCTTCCACAAAATACGTAAGTGATATATCACTCTTCAACATCATTTTATGGTATTGTTTTTATGTCTGAATTATATTCCATCTTACCTTTTTGTCTCTTTCGAATGGCAGAAAACTATATAGAGGATGGGCATGGCAAAATGTTAAGCGCCGAAGCTATATTTGTTTCTGATATGTAAAATGTTGAATTCAGAATCGACATCATGGCACTAAGCACACCCGCACTAGCGAAACGTCCACATACTCAGCAGCAAGCAAAGAGATTCCATTCCGATGGAGAAGAAGAAGAAGAAGAAGAAGAAAAAGAAGAAGAAGAAGAAGAAGAAGAAGAAGAAGAAGAAGAAGAAGAAGAAGAAGAAGAAGAAGAAGAAGAAGAAGAAGAAGAAGAAGAAGAAGAAGAAGAAGAAGAAGAAGAAGAAGAAGAAGAAGAAGAAGAAGAAAAGGAAAAAGAAAAAGAAGCAGAAGATAAAGAAAAAGAAGAAGACTCTTATTCTACTTCTTCTTCTTCTTCTTCTTCTTCTTCTTCTTCCTTTTTTTCTTCCTCCTGCACTTCTTCCTCTTCTTCTTAATTGTTCTTCTTTCCTCTTTTTCTTCTGCTCTCCTCGGTGCTTTTGGGAAAGAGTACGAGAGTCGCATTGTAGAAGAGAGTGTGGCATTTTGCGTAATATATGTCTATTTGATAGTGGTTAGAAATACTGCAATTTTTTTTTTTTTTTTTGGGGGGGGGGGGGGGTGTGTTCTTTTGTGTGTGACTGTGTGTGTGTGACTGTGTGTGTGTGACTGTGTGCAGATTTTGCTATATTGTTTTTCCTATTATTATTTATACATTAGTAAGTATGCTTTTCTTTTCTTCTAGGGGTATATGCTGGCATTCTTCAGCCGCCGGTGTTCTCATTAATATTTCCAGAGTAAGTTGATATGTTTCAGTGAGTACAATTAGAGATGTTGTCCTACTATGTGGGACTCTTTGACACAGAGAAGGGTAATCTCGTTTCACAATGCAGTCCTCTACTTGGGTTCAATCGCCGCAGTGTGCGGCTTTAAAGTCAGATCACTGAGCAAATCTCTTTACCATTCCCCCACTACGTCTCTTTGATTTAAGATCTTATTATCATCATTGTCATCAGTTTCGACTGTTGCTGTTCCGTTGCTAAATGAGTAATGTCATGGTAAAGGACGCTAGAGAGTGAAGTTAAAAAGACGGGAAGGACATGGGGAGAGTTGCATGCGACAGCGATGGATAGAACAACTTGACCTGAGTTGGCTGAAGGCCTTTGCGCCATTGGGAGATAGAAAGGCAGAAGAATAATGGCCATTGCCATATCCTGTAGATGTAGAAACTCTTTAATGTCATCAAGTCACCTCACCCGTTTAGGACTGGGTCAAGAATAGATCCGGTATCCAGTGTTGTAGGACACAAAGAAGATGCTACGGTACTTAATTTACAACTTACCCCTGACGTCACGACGACGTCACGGGAGACATTCCCAATAAATTCTAGGGTGTTCAGGTTGTAGTTTCTCGCGGTTTCTCTACAGCCAAGTTTAGGGTTAGGGTTAGGGTTAGGGTTAGGGTTAGAAGACACTAGATGAACACTCAAAAACAGCACCACACAACAGCACACTTGCACCCCTCGAAATAATGGACTGTCAGGTCAGCTGTGGATTTCCCACGGGAATTTCGTGTTTGGGGTACGTTATAAATTAAGAACCGATGCTACTGCTGACAAGAAAGCAGCTGCGATGTTCTTGAAGGAATTTAAGAAATTGATGGCGTCAGAGAGTTACAGGGCAGAAGCATTTTTTAAATTACGATAGAACTGTTTTTCCTGGAAGAAAATGCCTAAGTACCAAGGATGAAATTGCCAGAACACAAGCCGATGAAAGGGAGACTAGCCTTACTTTGTGTGAGAGTGTTTGCGTGTGTCAATGTCACTGGTGATCTGAAGATAGAGCCTCCATTAGTTCATCTCTCTGAAAATCCCAGTCCTTAAATAATAATAATAAGAAAAAGTCGAGAAATAAAAATCTAGTCACCCCTTTCTAGGATGCAATTTTTCGTTATTTGAAGACCTACTCTGGCTATTGCCAGGGGCCGCAATATAGCCCAGCCATCAATATGGTCTAATAGATGATCGCAGTTTCTGGGACCTCTCCATGGTGATCCTCATCCATATGGTGGCACTTTGTGTCATCGGGTGTTCATCGCTTGTGTGATGTCCTAGAGGGGTAAAAGAAGACAGACAGACAAAAGACGAGAGTTATTTTGCAGGTGTTGTACCAAGGCGAATCAGCACAGGAAGTGGTCTGTCTCAGCACACTATCCAGGGCCGTGCAGAGGTACGACAGTTGAGGTTTAGGTTTCACTGGCTCAGAGGAGAGCTTGTTTCGAAGGCAGTTGGTTCGGGCCTGGGTAACCATTTGAAGCAACCGGTCTGATGCGTGAGTGGCGATTTTAAAGCATGTCGGCAGGTTGCGGCAGGATATTATAACTAGGGCTGTACCGAATAGTGATTTTCACTATTCGGCCAAATACGAATAACGGGACCAACTATTTGGCCGAATACGAATACGAATAGTGTATTAAATATATCAAAAAAAAAACAAAAAAACATACACATTCATAATCTCAAATGTACGCTGAACTTTTACTTCACATAAAGTAGCACTGAATAGTCTTCTTCTTTAGCATTCTGAGCTCTTGAGGTTTACTGCTGCATTCATCTCTCTGGCTGGCCTTCTCTTCACAGTTTGTGACACCAGTTGTTTGCAGGTCTGGCTGGATATTATCTCTCGAACTTCTTTTTTGTCTGCCTCGTGGTCTACGACCATTCATCTCCCTTGTGTATACAGTTTTTACTTCTCTGTCATCTTACATTCTTTCAATATGCCCCAACCATTTTAGTCTCTTAGCTCTCATGATGCCAGCGATCAATGGTGATTTCAACAGATAACGTGTTACGTTGTTGCTTCTCACTCTCCCTTCCCCGCTGTTAGCATCTTTGATGGGCCCAAAGATTTGTCGTAATACTGTTTTCGGAAACCTGTAATAAGGCCCCATCTCTTTTATTTCTGCTTCAAGCTTCAGAGCCATATAAAACGACTGGTCTTATCAACGTTTTATATATTTTGATCTTGGTGTTGCGAGACAGACACTTTGACTTTAGCAGATGTTGAAAGGCAAAGCATACTTTATTTCTAGATTGTTTTCTAGATTGTATTTCTTCTCTCAGCATGTTGGAGCAGTTGAAGTTTGCACCCAAGTACTTATATGTTTCCGTTCGTTTGATTTTCATATTATCGACTTGGATATGCCCGGAGTTAAAATTCTTTCCATGTCTGGTTAGTATTCGTACAGAATAGTAAACATTTAAAAACATTTCATGTTTTGCATCCTTCAGTCAGTCTGTGGTAACTAATAACTTTGAATGGAAGAATCCTTAGTATTATAATAAGTAACTTAATTTGTAAATTGTCACCAACAGCTTAGTTAATGCAGGAAAACTGCATTAGCTTTCAACAAAACTAATCGTTCCATGTTAACAGCATTAAGGCCGTGTATGTAGAAGCAGGTGTAAGGTAACTACTATTTGCATTCGGCTCGACCGCAACTATTCGGCCGAATACCGAATAGTCAATAGGTCCACTATTCGGCCCCGAAGCGAATACGAAGCGATTATTCGGTACAGCCCTATTTTATAACCCAAGCTACCTCTGGGGTAAATACCTTGTTCCTTTTTGTAGCTGTGTTAAAGTCCTTTCTGTATATTCTGACGGTGTGGGGATAGACACAACACCATGCAGTTACCAACGAGCCATTGCCTGTAAGACAGTCAACAGTTCCTTGGCAAAAATATAAAGTATTATTTCATTGTGTAATTCTTATTTAGAAAAAAACAAAACGATTGTTGTTTAAAAAATTGTTTAATGCAGTTATTATAACTATGCCGCCATTGGTTCAACAATTGGACATGAGATCATACACGGATTTGACAAAAGCGGTAAGTTTTGTATCGTGCTCTTCTGTGTTCTCTGTATTATAATTTTTTTTTAAGCGTTGCACCCATTGCTTCAGATGTACAATTCTGTTTCTTGCTCGACTAGCAACCTTGACAACAGACACATCGTGCTGCTGTAGAGTTTGCGCGCGCGCGCACACACATACACATATACATATATGTATGCGAGCGCGCATGCACACACACAAATACACACACGATCCGATTAACCTATTTGATGTATTTTTCCAAGAGTTTACAGCTGGTGAACTTGAAGAAGAAGAAGAAGAAGAAGAAGAAGAAGAAGAAGAAGAAGAAGAAGAAGAAGAAGAAGAAGAAGAAGAAGAAGAAGAAGAAGAAGAAGAAGAAGAAGAAGAAGAATGCAGAAGGCAGAAGGCAGAAGGCAGAAGGCAGAAGGCAGAGGGCAGAGGGCAGAAGGCAGAAAGCTTTTTTTAATCGTCTGAATTTAACATCGCCTGGCTTAACCTGAAACACAAGAAACCGCCAGGGTATTTGTTACTTGTTGTTCATATCAACATCCTAGCAGATAGGTCCCACCCATTCGTGGTTCATCAGATGCGACAGCATCTCAGCCACCTTAGTGTCTCCGTGCTCAACGTATCCGGTAGGAATTGCTTGGCATATCATTTTCTGGTGCTTCGCTAACGGTTTCTGCAAGCTTGTCCCCTTTCCATCAGGCTGTTTATTGTCTCTGACTCCTTCGTCTCGATTCTCTAGAACGTATTACAGTTAGTCTGTGTGCCCTGCCCATTCTTCCTCCTCCACTAACAGTTGCAGGCATGGCCAGTTAGTCAACTCATTCATTTCCTTTAACCCAGGCTTTTCCCGGTGTGAACAGCCAGGGTTGTTTCTTGAAGCGAGATTTCTGGATCCTGTCAACTCATTCTAGTCGGAGTTTGCTAGTTTGAATCTTCTTTAGCATAATCACTGAGTCTGTCATTATCGATGCATGAGTTGCTTTCTGCCTAATCAGCCATATAAGTGCCCATGAAAGAGCTGCTAACTCTATCGTCATGCTGGGTGTTGTTGATACCTTACTTTCCTCTTTCACTCTCTTCCCGTTTCTTGTGCTGTGTATGTCCATCGAGACCGCACAATTGGAATCACTGAGCCATCTTTAGAGATGATGATGTCACGTGGCTGAGTGAGCTCATGAATGAAGGCCTTTCCATTCTCTGCAATAACCGTCATTGATGATTATTACCTCAATGTGCTCCTGCAATTGTTCTGGTATTTCTATCCAATCAGCACCGAGCCTGACATGTTCCATTGGACAAATCAATGGTTAATGGTATCCTCTGCTTCTGTCACCCAGGACCAAATCCTGTTTAAGCGCTTGTCTTTGTTTACACACTTAGATCTGCAGCAGTGAACCCCAACGGCTCGAAATGCCGAAGAAGAGGAAAAAGAATATCGGCAACATCACAAAGGTTCGTCTTCGCCTGGGTCATTTTGTGTTTAGCGCCCATACCTTGCAGCTCGAGGATGTATTATATCGCGTAACATAAGATGTCTCTTGTTCACCCGAGGACAAGTGGCATGGGTATATTTTGCAATTTCTCTAGTCTTTCCAGTCGATGTCTACTATTTCAACTCTCAAGGAAAAGGCGAGATGGATGTACAATCAGACAGTTACCATACTACCATAGGAATTGGAACTCTTTACTTCCTGCTGAAGATAGGCACGGAGCGCTTATAGTGTCTCCGTGTATCCTGAGTGCCGTGATGTCTGTTCTTAATTCAACATTATCTACTATTTGTGAGGAGTTCATCTTTGTTCCAGCTTTGCTGCTTTCATCACACTAAGCGCAATCAGGCCTTAATTTGCTTTTATTGTGAAATCATTGACATGATATCATATTGACATCATCAGTTCTCTTTATACCTAGT